CATTACATGAAAAAAATATGGAAAAAAAACCATGTCTTGTTTGTGGATTTCCTACTGCTTCTACTACAGGATGCTGTTCCAAACACTCTGCTAGATTTCATGCACTGAATTATCGGATGAGACAGAAGTATATGGATGAGGACTTTCAACTCATGAAGACCTCTGAATTGTCTATCAAGAAGTGAGCAAAAAAATATTATTCCTTCATTAGTCGATTATTTTATAAAATTTTGGCAAAATTCATGTCTCGGATGTATGTGACTTTATATTCTAGTAAGGATATAGCTATTTTTTTTAATAATATATACCAATAGATAAAGTATTCTCGTAATTATATAAAAATGTGAGAAGGCTATATACACATATGATCTTAGTATATACCTAGAAAAGTGTAGCCTTCTCCGTAATTATATTATATAAAAATGGGAGAAGGCTACACATACCTGATTTGTAATCGAATAGTATTAGCACATATCGAATAAGTCCTGAATATCTTCTGAAATTTGCGAGTTATCCAGTTTGCTAGAACTAGTAAAATTATCTAATATTAATTCATCGGGTAAGAGTTACTGTAACCATATCGAGTATCTTAATCATTTTTCCAATAAATTTCTTTACCTGTTTGATATGAAGGTAATCTAGAAGCATCTTTACTATCAAATGAACCTATTAGATGGTAATATCTACAACTCCTATCTATAGCCTTAAATTTCAACCCATAAGTTGCATGTAATGCTGAATTTAGTAAACCAAGTTTTGCTCGATCTGTTTTCAAACCTGATTTTTTAGTACTGCGTGATGCCTCTGCATTATCGAATACTTGGGTCATTTTAGGAACTAAATCATGAAGATATGATATTGATTCAGGAGTACTTAAGCATCTTCTTACATCATCAGTTTTATATCTTATCCTATCATCGATATCTTTAGCGGGTGTACAAATTTTTAGTAATTCCAGGGAAATTCGATGCTTTTCAGCGCAAGTAACAGTTGTAAGCTTATCTTCTCTATAATCTTTACGGGTGATAGCTTCAACAGTAGTTTCATTATTTATACCCGCATCTCGTATTTGTCTATAAGCTCTAAACCATCTCATATGTTTATAATTCCCATACTCTGAGATAAAGTCTTCAGTCAATAATTCAGGAGAAATCTCATAACAATCTGCAATGTGATGTCGGTCTAAAGAACATATCTCTTTTAAAGTTTTCTTTAGCTTATTCTCCAAAAATTCAGCAGTCTCACGATCGAGAATATTAGCATTAGCTATATCTGAAATCTCCTCTGCTTTAACGATAGAAGAATTCGCCTTCACAGCTTGAGATAATGATACAACGTTTTTATTAGACTTAGGAATTAGTTCTATGATGCAAATTATCATACCTGCCTCTTTGAGAAAATCAACCATTCTCCAACCAAATAATCTTTGAGAACGAAATTTCTCTAACATGAATGCTACCCATAATCGAATGGTTGGTACATCCTTATTCCGGATAATAGAATCAATATCTGGAAATATTCCTCTATTCTGAAGTTCTCGTGGAAGACATTCACGTTTAGCATTTAATAA